AGTTTGAAAGCATGTAAAAAATGCAAATAGAAAAATAGGGACCACTTTGGTGGGAAGATAACAGCGTTCCGTGTACCATTGGCATTTAGTCATTCTGGCCACACGACCACGGAGACGTCTTCGGAGAGCGCTGGCTCTTCAGCTTTGAAACGGAGATGAGCACCACCCCCTAGAGTCAGGAACAACAAGCACATACGTGTGAGGGGAACCTTTACTTTTATCTAACTGAGCCTTCTTCTGATCACCTGCTCTCCAGTTATGTTGGAGTACTATATCCACCCTCTGCAGACAGAACATCCAATAGCATAGTGTGTGTGTGTGTGTGTGTGTGTGTGTGTGTGTGTGTGTCTCCATGTATCCATTCAAGCCACTCCTGATGATTGCCTGGGCAACTCCCTCCAGAGTTCTTAGCAGCCTTTTCAGATGGATAGTTGCTTCCCATGGCTGAGAAAGAGTGATTGACCAAAAATCACCCAGTTGGCTTCAATCCCTAAGTCAGGACTAAAACTCACGGTCTCCCCTTTTTCTAGCCTATTGCCTTAATCACTGCACCAAACTGGCTGATGTTCACTCTATGATGGTTCCCATCTGGATATGGTTAGCTGGGAAAGAGAGCCCTGGTGGTGCAGTGGTTAACTGCAGTATTGCAGGCAAACTCTGCCCACAGTTAGGAGTTCGATCCTGAGGTGGCTCAGGGTTGATTCAGCCTTCTATCCTTCTGAGTTTGGTAAAATGAGGACCCCTGATTGCTGGGGGGGGGCAATATGCAAATAATGCTGAAATTGTAAAGTGCTCAGAAAGTACTCTAAAGAACTATAGGGAGGTATTTAAGTCAAAACATTATTGCTATTGTTAAAGGAAATTTTTTTTCAGAATGATTAAATGCTACAATGTTTTAATCTTTTCATCTCTCTCCCTGCCTTCTGCATCCCATTTCAGTATGTGGTTATTCCTACACGCCGAGCGACAGCCGTAGCTTTGCAGAGCTTCACCTCTCATCTTTTGGGAGATGCTGGAAGTCCCTACCTGGTTGGATTTGTAAGTATAGCCTTGGCACACCTGAGGAATAGGATAAGAAGCTGGGTTCTTGTTCTGAGGATGACAATCCTCCCCAGCTCTGCACACACACAGGCTTTGTGATTGCATTTAATGCTCTTAGTCTGGCAATTCAATGAATCCGTGTTCTCAATTCATTTGGGATATAAGAGAAGCCAACAGTCAGGTTTTGTGTAAGTCTACACATCCCATAAATTTTTTTAGCCAAATAACACTAACTTAACATAGCATGTGGTACGAATGCATCTTCTAGACCCGTGATGCCGAACCTATGGCACGCATGTCAGAAGTGGCATGCAGGGCCATCTCCCCAGGCAAGCCAGCCACCGCCCATTGCTCTTCCAGGTTCCGGCACAAACATGTGTGCCGGCCAGCTGATCTCTGCATGCGCGGGAGTGCCATAAACCAGAAGAGCAGCTCTCCAGCATGCATGTGTGTGCCGGGAAGCTGAGCTTCTGTTTTCCGGTATGTGAAGTGCGCCAGCCAGCTGGTCCTCGTGCGCGCAAGCGCGTCTAAAACTAGAAGACCAGCATGTGTGCCGGGGAACTGTTCTTCTGGTTTCCGACACTCCCGTGCATGTGCACCGGGGAGCTGCTCTTTTGGTTTCTGCTGCTCGCACTCCCGTTTCAGCACTTGGTGCCGAAAAGGTTCGCCAACACTGTTCTAGTCACCCTTCTCACTTCGAAGTTATTCTTTGTCTGAAGTTGTGCCCTTTATTGAATGAACTTAGCCACACATCTACAGAAGAAGAAAATAAAGTAGCATTAATGAATCCAGAAGGAGGCATAGGAACAAAGTGTTTTTGGCACGACACAGTTTTCTGCTTCTTCAGATCCACATTTTTAAGATGCCTTTCTAACTTCTGTCATAATTTTGAATTTAAAATAATTTATTTTAAAGTTTCCTATATACTTCTTTCTTCTCCTATTATCCCTACCATCCTTGATGCTACGGAAAATATTTTTTTTGCAGGGGGAATGTTCCAAATCATGGTGCTAACCCAGACAAAATTTGCAGATTTGCAGATAATTAGAAAACCTCCCCAATGTGATAAGGGATGGGTAGGGTATTTTTTTAATATAGTGTTTCTAACACAGATAAGCTTCTCCCACTTCTGCATTAGGGAAATGACATGGAAAAGTAACTGACATCACTACTTAACACTTCAAGAGGGAGCTAGTTGCTTAGAAGACTCCTCTATGTTAAGCATCCTAGTTTTAGTTCACACTATTACTCACGGTAGTTCTAAAACACAAACACATGGATACACCCACATGCCAAATGTGGTGCTAAATTGGGGCCACAGAGCATATTGTTTCCCTTGCTTCCTCCAATCATTAAAATAAATGTATGCTTATTGCCTGTTATTATTTAGACATCTAGCCCAGATTGTCTACTATGATCTGGGATTTTCCCAACTCTATCTGGAGTTTGCCTAGTTAGAATCTGAAGCAAAACGGGTGTTCCAATGTAACTTCACCCCAGTTCTAAATGAAGACTCTGTGTACAAAGAGATTGCCCAGTAAATGAATTTGAGTTGAGCCTTAGATGTTGAACCTAGGAAAATGCCTGATACGGCAACAGGTAATGGATTCCTTTAACACTGAAAAGTGTCAGCTCTACCAAGTTTCTGTTGTGGTCCCCCAGCGGCCAGCAGAGCTGGCAGCAGAGTCAGACAGTGAGGAGGTTGGGGAGGAACATGGGCCAGTCCTGGAGGCTGGGGAGGGCTCGGATGAGGGCTCTGTTGTGTTGGCGGCAGAGATGGGGCCGAGGCCATCTGGCAGTGATCAGGTGCCTATGGAGCTAGACAACAGTGAGGTAGAGGAACGGCTAGAGCCTGTTCCCAGTGTGTGCATGTGCAGAGCTGCCAGAAGAAAAGAACAGTTAAGGAACAAGGGTTGACTTAGGAGTAAAGCCACA